CGCTGGTGGGGATTCAAAGGGGGTCGGTGAACACTGCTCAGAGGCAGCTGGTGCTCGAGACGCGGGACGGCGGCCGCATCATCGGCCTGCGGGAGGCCATCCCTGCCAGCGGGCAGCTCGTCTGGTAGCCGGCCGGCTGCGCCCTCCGCCCGCGGGCCCCCGGGCTCGTCCGCCTCGGGGCAGCGCTGGGACCTCCCTGGGCCTCTTTGGATCCGATCGCTCCGAGTCGATGCCGAGGTCGGCCCGTCCGATGCGATCGGGCCTGCCTGGGCCTCTTCCGATCCGACCGCTCCGAGTCGATGCCGAGGTCGGCCCGTCCGATGCGGTCCGGTTTCGGTCTTTTGCGGCGATCCGGTGCGCCTCGAGGCTTGCAGCGTGGCGTGGAGCTCCCGGCGGTTCCGCGCCGACGGGGTTCCGACTTTGTCGATCCAACCCGATTCCCCGATTCGACGCTGATTATTTTTGCCTTCTTGGCCCTCTTGGTCTTGAGATCCGACGACGCGCCAGAACTGCAACATCGTAACACATCACGACCTCCCTTCTGCGGCAGGTTTCGAGCCAGACTGATCCGTGAGGGTCCGGGGGCCCGAGATCGTGCGAGAGCGCCGGGGTCGACAAAAATGGCGACGCCAGGATCTCAGGGGGGGGCACAGGACGGCAGTCCAGCAGAACTTGGGATTCGGTGGCAAATCATGGAAGCTAATTCCTCTTCAGCGTCGATTAGCGTCGATTGGCGTCTGGAGTCGATGAGACAGCGGCGATTTAGCGTCGGTCAGCATCAATTCAGCGTCGATTCAGCGTCGTTTAGCGTCGATTTAGCGTAGAGTAGCGCCGATTCGCAAGAGCCGACAACATGGTATGGGAGAATTGCCACCGAAGATGGGACAGGGACAGCTCCCCCCTTTCAGCAGGAGGAGGAGGAGGAGGAGGAGGAGGAGGAGGAGGAGGAGGCCACTGCTCCTGGCCATGACCATTTCTGGGCCCAGGAGCAGCGCATACGCCCTCCTGGCCTGGCCGGGGAGGCACCTGCACCGCTCCCGGACCCAGGATGCTCCTGGCCGGGAGCAGCGGACGCGTCTAGCCCTCGTCGCCCTACTCGGCTTCACCGCTGCAACGGCCGGTGCCTCCCCGGCCTCTTCGTGCGCCTCGCGTGCTCCGGAGCCGTCCCGCTGGTCGCACCTTCGGTCCGCTCCGCTCCGCTCCGCGCCGCTCCGCTCCGCGCCGCGGGGCCCCCCTCCCACGGGGCCCAGCGGACTTCCCCGCGAGCGTCCTCACGCCGGTGGTCGGCCACGCGCAGAGGGGCTCTCTCGACTACACACGTGAGAGTGGCCCTTCGCCGGAGTGGCCTCTGGTGCGGGCCCGTCGGGGTCCCCGATCGCCGAACGCGAGGCGGCAGTGGCGTCTGGCGCGCTTGTGTGTTGGCCCCCCCGCGGCCCCCCAAAAGCCGCGCACTACCGGTCACTCTTACCCAGGGTCACTTTTACGCGTAGCCGAGACTCGGTAGCAAGTCATGCGAGCCTGGTATATCCTCTTAATTCTGTCTCTAAAGCCGATTAGCGTCGATTAGCGTCTGGAAATGGATGAGATAGCGCCGATTTAGCGTCGGTTAGTGTCGATTAGCGTCGATTTAGCGTCGATGATCTTCGATTTAGCGTCGGCTAGCGCCGATTCGCAAGATCCGACAAGAGATGGTATGGGAGGCTCCCATGAGTTGCCCTCCGAAGAGGGAGGTAGGGGGACTGGGGGAAGGCCTCTCAGAAGCACCCCTGCCTCTCAGAATGCGCGGGCCTTGTCTGTACAGATTTAGGGCTGGCGCCTTCTGAGAAGCGGCCTCCTTCTAAGAAGCCTTCCCCCCTCCACCTACCCCCTTCGGACGGGTCCAGGACGAGGATAAATCCAGTCCAGAGCGCTCCGGAACGCTCTGAGAGGGCCACGGCGCCCGAGACCTCCTCCAGAGCCGCCGCATCTCAGAGATTCTACATTTGCACCCTCGCCCGAATCTTATATCCTCGTCCTGGCTTCGTCCACCCCCTTGTGTTAGGTCGAGCATGTCCTCTGACAGGAGGCATATTCAAGAATAGTAAAACATAACCTGGTGACGATATATATATATATATATATATATATATATATATACATATATTATATATATAATATATACATATATTTATCTCGGAGTAGGGCCCGGGGGCGGCCTGGGGCGCTGCCAGTAATCTCCATGCGGGGTGCAGGGCGCCCCCGGGAGCGTCCGAAGCGTCCCGGAGGGCCCCTGGGACCGCCAGGAACAGTTCGAGACCGCCCAAGACGGCCCGCGAGCGCTCCAAGACGCGCACAGATAGCCTCAGGAATGGCCAGGAAGGCCCGAAGACGTTCCAAGAGAGCTCCATGAGGCCCCGAAGGCATCCCAAGAGGCCTCCCAAGAGAGCCCCGACAAGCCAAAATCGTTGATTTTTATTTTTTATTTCGAGGTTTTTGGCCTTCTCGCTTTTTCGGGGTTCCGACGCTCCAAGGCCGTCCAAGAGTCTCCCAAAACCGCTCCAATACGGCCGAAGAGGCCCCCAAGACCGCCCCAAGACGGCCCAAGAGACCCCCCAAATTGTCCCAAGACGGCCCAGGAGAGCCCCAAGATGGCCCAGGAGCCGCCCAAGACGGTTCCAGGAGAGCCCCGACAGGGCTTCAAGACTGCCTAAGCGAGCCCAGCGGTCCCCAAGAGGGCCCCGCGAGGCCCCAAGAGGCCCCAAAGAGGCCCCCGAGAGCCTCCCCAGAGGCCCCCAGAGCCCCCAAGATGCCCAAAAATGGCCCTGAGCGCGCCCCAAGACGCCTCCAGGAGAGCCCAACAGGCCTCCGAGAGGCCCCCAAGAGGCCCACTGGAGGCCCTCAGGAGGTCGTCCCCATCATGTTCACGGAAGGCGGTCCGGGAACATGATTCCGCGCCTTGGAGGAGTATTCTGCGCCTTCCGAGGCGCTTTGGACGACGTACGTATGTTTCTATAGATTGTCCTTCTCCTGTCTACACAATCCTACATGTTTTACGTATGTTTCTATACACACACATATATAGATGTATGTATGTATGCATGTATGTATGTATGCATGCATGTATGCATGCATGTCTGTATGTATGTATGTATGTATGTAGGTAGGTAGGTAGGTAGGTAGGTAGGTAGGTAGATAGGTCGGTATGTAGGTAGGTAGGTAGATAGGTAGGTATGTAGGTATGCAAATATGTACATATGCATGTATGTATGTATGTATGTATGTATGTATGTATGTATATATGTATGTATGTATGTATGTATGTATGTATGTATGTATGTATGTATGTATGTATGTATGTATTAATGTATGTAGTGTATGTAGTGTATGTAATGTATGTAATGTATGTAATGTATGTATGTATGTATGTATGTATGCATGCATGCATGCATGCACGCATGCATGCATGTATGTATGTATGTATGTCTGTCTGTCTGTCTGTCTGTCTGTCTGTCTGTCTGTCTGTCTGTCTGTATGTATGTATGTATGTATGTATGGATGTATGTATGTATGTATGTATGTATGTATGTATGTATTTATGTATGTATGTATGTATGTATGTATGTATGTATGTATGTATGTATGTATGTAGGAATGTATGTATGTATGTATGCATGCATGTATGTATGTATGTATGTATGTATGTATGTATGTACGTGTGTATGTATGTATGTAGGTATGTATGTATGTATGTATGTATGTATGTATGTATGTATGTATGTATATATATATACACATACAATGGGGAGGGGGTCCTGGACCAGGGGGGGCCTCACTTTGCCCAGTGGCTGTGGTCACCCCCCCACGGGGACGCTCCCAGGACCCTCTAAAATGGCTCCAGGACGCCCTCAGGACAGCCCAAGAGAGGTCCGAAGCGGCCCGGGAGCACTCCAAGACGGTTAAAAAGCTGCCAAAGCGTCCCAGCAGGTCTCCGACAGCACTCTCGGGAGGGGCCCAATAGGAAATGGTCACTGATTTTTAATGGGTTTTGAAGGGTTTTGGCGTTCTCCCCAGTTCGGCTTCCAGACGCTCCAAGGCGGCCCAAGAGGCCCGAAAGATGCCTCAAGACGAGCCCAGAGGCCCCCTCCGTAGCCATTTTAGCTCAAGCCTGTTTGTTCTCAAGGCGGCACGCATTTCAGCCGCTTCTTGATGCGTCCAACGTGTGTGTGGCTGGTTAATTCTGGCTCGCGACATTTTTCGTGGGAAGCTCGGTGAGAATGGACGCCTAGCGAACTTGGCCACTATTAGTTGTATACGTTTTCATATGGTATGCATCAAATGTGAGGTACAATATCGTAAACAAAATGCTGTTGAAATCGTTGCATGCGACCGTGATCATTGCCTGGGCCCAGTTAGCTTTCGGAGTGGTGGTTGCAGTATGTCTCTGGAGGTGCGGCGTTCTTCCAACCCCGTCCGTGTCCCGAGGTGATATTCTAGCACTGGTGCCGGCAAGCATGGCTTTCGCAGCAGGCCAAATAACAACCCAGGCCGCTCTTACATTTGGACATGTATCGCTTACACACGTGGTCAAATCTGTGGAGCCTGTTGTCAACGCTCTTTTTTCAGCACTGTTGTTGGGGGATTGTTTGAATCCTTTTACATATCTGACACTCGTCCCAATTGTTCTTGGTGTGTGTTTGACAGCGAACTCATGGGGTTTCGATGTATCGACCCTGGCCTGCGCCATGGCCTCGAAAGTATGCTTCGCTTTGAGGAATGTGCTTGCTTCAAAGTATGGCCGCATTGGGGACTTGGGTGAAGATCCAACAGTCAGAAAAACAAATCAACTGTTCCTTTTGACAGTTCTTGGCAGCGCCATATCTCTGCCGTTTGTTACGTTGATATCCCTGTTTCGTTTGCAATCATTATTTGATGCATGGGCTGATGCTCTAAGTAAAGTGTCCAGTTATGAGATTTGTAGGATGCTTGTAGAATCCTGCGGTTTTTTTTCTGGTATATCAAGTGTCATCGTTTTGGGTCTTATCGCTGATGCAACCAATTTCGCACAGTGTCCTCAACTCCATGAAGCGTGTGGTTGTTATCATGTCTGCGACTGTTCTTCTGCACGAACCTGTGACTACTTTGGGCTCCGTCGGGGTGGCGCTTTCAACTGCTGGAGCAATCGCATATTCGCTTGCAAAGAGGAAGTTGCATAATGACGCCCCATGGACCTGGTATCCCAGGCTATCAGTAATCTGTGCAATCGTGCCAGGCATCCTCAGCCCCATATTGCTGCAAACCTGTTCAACCATGTATGCGTCAGGAGCGTTTTCAGCATCGAACGTGCAACTGACTCTCCAGCTAGAGGGCACAAGACTGCTGCCTGCAACGCGGCTGGTGCTGGTGGCCATCCCATCAAGCGCAGCATGCGACGGACAAATTCATCATTTGGCATGCTTATAGTCTACGAGGCAGCGGGGAGCGAACTCGGCGTGTACACTTGCGCGCGTGCTTCTTCAGCCATTTCCTGCTCCTGTCTTTGTGACGTGGGCGGGTGCGCATCTTACGCTTTTATTTCGGTCAGCCATGGCAGGGCCGTGGCTGGGGGTGGACTATGACGTCGACTACTTGGCCAGCGCCTCGTGGTCGGCGGGGGACGTCGTTGAGGCCGATGGCTTCGACTTCAACGGCGCGGTGCAGGGCAAGATCATCTCCGTGGTCATTGGCTCCGAGCCACGACCGCGCGAGTACGAAGCGTCCTTGGCTGGTGTCCAGGACGACTTCTACTCCTGGTGGGCCTTCGAGTCGGGCGAGGCTGAAGACCCGGGTCTCTTCAAGATGACCCTCCACAAGCGCGAGAAGGCGAAGGAGGTCGCTGGCCGGTACATCACGGCAGTACCGCGCTGGCGCTTCCTTGGGTCTGGTGGCGTCCCAGACCTTGCACCCGCGGCCTGGCTGCGGCGAGGGCTCCAGAAGATCGTCGAGGAGCGGATCGCCACGGCGATCGCGCGTGCGAAGGCGTCGGCATCGCCACTGCCAGCCCGGAGAGCTGGAGACGGGGGCGATGGTGCCTTCCGCCCGCAGCTGCTTCACGGGGACCGCCAGGAGGGCCATGAGGTAGAGGAAGGACGAGGAGGAAAAGGCGTGGCTGACGAGCTTGAGGAGCTGAAGAGGGACGTCGAGGAGGATAGGGCCAGCAGGCAGCAGAGAGGTGGACGGAGGAGCAGCGGAAAGGAGGAGCATCGCAGGAGCCGCAAGAGGTCACGCGAGGACGAGCGTGAGAGAGGCCGGAGGCACCGGGTAGCATCGCCTGAGCGTGGTGCTGGGCGGGGTGCCCACCCCGAGACGGGCCGGCCGGACGAGAGGGAGGGGCCAGATCGACCCAACGTCCAGAGTAGGCGCAGCGAGCAAGATCACCAGGCCAAGCGAAGGGCTGTGTCAGAGCCCCGGCGCCGTTCTCGTTCACGGGCGCGGCGCCGCTCGAGGTCTCGTTCCCGTCGCAGGTCTCGTTCGCGATCGTGGTCAGTTTTTGGCGGCGCCTCGTCGTCCACGAGCCGGAGCTCCCAGGCCCGGCTCATGTCCTGGGCGCAGCGGCACTCAGGAGAGCTCGCCGCGCGTCTCCTCCAGCAGATGGAGAACCGGGTGGGCAGGGACGGCGAGGCGGGCTCCTGGGCGAAGGACGACATGCCGGCAGCGGCCAAGAGCTACTACATCCGCGTGCTGCGTGTAGCGCACGCGTCCGGAGGACTACGGAGCCTCCGCGAGATGGCCACTCTGTGCCACATCTTGGACCACGTCGCCAAGAAGCGGTACAAGGCCGCAGCGGACGTCGCAGGCCAGAGGCTCAATGCGGTCGAGACTGCGATCGTGGACGGAAGCTGGGACCGCGCTCAGTTTCTCGAGCTTGTCGAGCAGGAGGACCCTCTCCTGGCGGAGCAATCGGAGCGGCACATGTCTTCCCAGGAGCTGGCCTTCAAGCAGCGGTTGGCCGGGAAGGGCAGCTGGCTGCCCTCCGGCTCAGGTTGGAGCGCTGCCTGCGCAGGTTGCAGTGGCAGCAGCAAAGGGAACGGCAAGAAGGGGAAGGACAAGGGCAAGGAAAACGGCAAAGGGAAGGGCAGCAAGGGCCAGTCCGACAGGTGGAGTTGACCCCCTCTTTAGGGGCGACTGCCGGGGCCGGAGGCCGAGGCCGTGTCGGGCAGGCATGGCTTAGGGGGGCGGTTGCCGCCCCCCCCGGTACCGGTGGTTTTGCCGTCTCAGGAGGGCCTGGGAGGAACTACCAGGAGGAGCACTACATTTACGAGGACGGCCAGGAGTCGGAGGACACCAAGGAGGAGTACCAGGAGAAGGACTACGTCTACGAGGATGGCCAGGAGACGGAGGAGGTCAAGGAGGGCAATCAGGAGAAGGACTACGTTCACGAGGACAGCTTGGAGGAGGAGGCATTCAAGGAGAAGGATTACTTTTACGGGGACTGCCAGACGATGGAGGATATCGTGGACGAGAAGGACGAGGTCTACGAGTGCGACCACGCGGCGCGGAAACTGAAGGATGGCGGCTTGGACGTCGACGCCGTGCCCTGCATGGTCGAGCGGCGCTCTCGCGTCGAGGCCCTCCGGGCTGCCTTCTCCGCCCGCTTCCGGGACGCTTCGGATTTGGCGAGCTGGCAGACAACGATGCGCTCGTGCACTGCCTCCTGCACGGCCGTCGCGGACCTCGGGCTGATCTTCCGGGCAGCGGCCGAGAGCTCCCCCTCGCGTATCGCTGCGGTCGCAGCTTTGGTCCGTTCCGGCACCCGCGATTTCGGCGTTGAGCCGGGTGCGCGAGGCCGCGGGCTCTTGCCTATTTCGCCCGAGGCAGCCGAGGTAAGGTTCAGACGCCTTGCGGCGGAGAAGGGGCTGGAGGAGGCAACCGTCTTTGTGGACTGGGGCGTCGCGATCGTGCTTGTCTTGAACTTCTTCAACTGTGCAGGGTGGTGCCGGAGGCCAGTGTGCACGCGCGCCGCGTCGGCGTTGAGTGCGGCTCAGGAGAAGACTCTATCCCATATCGGTGAAGGCTTGGCTTATGTACTGGAAGACATGGCGAAGCCGTTATCGATGCACCAGGTTTCTGAGGATTTGGTGTCGAGGAAGTCCGATTACGGGGGCGACGCTGTTTCCAAGAGGAGGGACTTGGAATGTGATCTCGTCGTGCCTGTTTGGCCTGCTGCGGAGCATGCCGGCGTACTCCCGATCGAAAACTTCGTTTTCGGAGAGGTGCGGGAGGACTTTTTGGATGTGAAGCGGTGCCTCCTCCCCGCTTCCGAGTGGCCCGAGACCGCCGCCAGGTCAAGGGTCCATGCATCTGACGAGGAGTGGTACCGCATCGTGCAGGTCGGTCTGCAGCGCGGTATCTTCGAGGCGGTCGCCGAGCAGGACATACTTCGAGATGCGCGCGGGGAGCTCGTGCTCAATGGCGCCATGGGTGTCGACAAGTGGAAGGTTGTCAATGGGGTGCGGACCCGCTTCCTTCGGTTCATCACCATCCTCGTCCCCTCGAACGCTTTCCTGCGGCGTCTCAGGGGAGGGAGCGGGGACCTCCCGTACCTTGGGCAGCCCTCCCTGACGAGGACATTTGGATCGATTCGGAAGATATGGAGAGCTGTTTCAACTTGTTCCGCATGCCGCCGTGTTGGCTGGGCGTGTTCACCTTCGCCAAGCAAGTGCCCCGCAGCGTCGTGGGCGGCCCGGCCACTGAGTTCATGTACGTGGGTGTACGTACCGTGCCTATGGATTGGATTGGCGCTGTGGATGTCATGCAGCCCATGGCGCGTGCGCTCGTTTTCAAGACGTGCGAATTCGATCCGGAGGCCGAGCTCCACAAGGAACGTGCCTTACCCCCTGGGCCAGAATTTGCGGTGGTGTGCATGGGCGGGGTTGACCACCTGCGGAAAGCGTCGGCGGTGCTTCGGCGCGCGGGGGGTCCCGGCGAGTCCGCTGGGCATCATCGTTTCGTCGAGGCGTGCGCGAACTTGAACCTCCCCCTCAATGCTGGCAAGAGCGTTGTCGGGTCGGCGCACGGCGCGTTGCTCGGAGGCGAGGTCGACGGCATTCGCGGTTGGCTGTCGCACTCGCGTGACAAGAGCGGCCTTTTGATAGCAAAGGCGCTGGCACTGCTAGGCGTGCCAGTCTGGCACGGCGGGGCGCTGCAGCACTGGATTGGTTGCTTTTGCTGCGGCGCCTCGTTCCGCAGGCCGCTCTTCGCCGTGTTGCAGGACGTGTTTTCCTTCGCTGCGGCCGTGGAGCATGGGGCGAAAGCTCCCGAGGCGGCGCGCGCCGACGAGGTCCTAGCCGCCGCTATCTTGGCGCCGCTCATGTACACAAACCTGCGCGCTCCCATCCGCGCCGCGATCAGCTGCAGCGATGCTTCTGAGGCCGGCGGCGGCGCTGCTGAGGCCACCACTTTCGTGCGCTCCCTCGGGCGCGACTTCGGGTGCGACGCCGAGGCGCTCGTGGCCAGGAGAGCGGAGGAGTCCGCATGGGCGCGCGAGGACGCGGGCGAGGAGCGCTGCGTGATGGGCTGCGTCGGCGGACCCGCCACTGAACTGGCGGCGCGCTCCTTCGGGTGCGGAAGCCGCCGCGCGTGTAGCTTGGAGTGCCTCTTGAGGCATGCGACTGCGTGCGGGCAGCATGCGGTCCGGAGCGCTGTCGTGGAGATGTGTCCGCGGGTGGCTCCCCGGAGCTGTCCTGGGCTGTTGCTCAACGCGGGGGCTACGTTCTGAGCCCAGTGCACCATAGCCGCGCCCCGTCGGCAGCTTGGGCCCATTGGCCTGGCATTGTCGAGTGGGCGGAGGAGGCCCAGGCATCGACGCGGAGGGCCGCAGGTTCACGGCGTGCCGTCCGGGGCCGGGCGCGTCCGAGCGGGCCCGCCCGCCTGCCGCAGAGGTTGCGAGCCGTCGTGAGCAAGAGCACCCGGGGGGCGTTGGCTGCGCTGCGCTCTATCGAAGCGCAGCTCCGCAATGGCAGAGTCGGGTCTTTCATGCATCCGGTCGACAGCTTGGTCTGGCACCTCCCCCTCGTGCGGGCGCTCCTGAGCTTTCCGAGGGTCTACCTGGGCTCAGTGCGCGGCGACGCCTCCGTGGACCTCCGCATCATGCACTGTTCGCCGGAGCTGCACGCGAGCATTCGGGCGCGCGGCTTCGACCCGCAGGTGGGCTGGCGCGAGCTGCTGGCAACGGCCGTCCGGGACGACCTTGCCAGAGCAGAGTCGGGTGCGATCCCGGCGGCGCCCTCTCTGAGGGAGACCTGGGTGCGATTTGCGCTCTCTTCGAGCACGGCCCGGCTGCGCCGCATATCTGGGCTGAGCGATGCAGCTGCGGCCATTTCAAAGCAGTTGGCCAGCATTCAGCAGGGCGACGAGTTGGCGCACCTTCGGAGTTTACTGCGACAGGCCGACTACAAGGGCTCGGACGTGCGACTGGTGACGGGAGAGCTCGTAGATGGCTGCCGGCAGGAGCTCCCGTATCCCGCCATTGCATGGGATTGGCGGACAGTGCAAGCTTACCCTTGGCAACAACATCATCACATCAATGTTCTTGAAGTCGTTGCATACCTGACCTACTTACGACTTTTGTCTGAATCGGCTTTGTTTCACGGCGTGCGGTACTTCCACATATTCGATAGCAAAGTGGTAGCTTGCGTGGTTGCGAAAGGCAGGAGCAGCTCTCGGGTCCTCAACCGAGTGTGCAGGAGGCAGCTGGCTCTCACCCTAGCAACCGACACCTACGTGCTTACCCTCTGGACCATCAGCCAATGGAACTTCGCTGACGCAGCCAGCCGGCTGCATGTCCAGGACAATGGGTAAGGGCGCGAAACGATTGCCTAGGTCCAGGGCTGAGCATTTAAAGTACGCAAGCATCACACAAAGAACTTTGGAATCGTACCGCAAACAGATCAGGCTATTTTTTCATCATCTGCACGTGCGCAGAATTCGCACCCCCACGTCCCTTGACGAGCTGGACGCCGAGGCCGCGGAGTACATCAACCACATGTACCAAGAGGACGAGCCGCACGGCTATGCCATTACCTTCGTGTCGGCGCTGAAGCGGCTGTACCCGAAATGCCGCAAACGCCTCGACATTGCCTCCCTATATTGTAAAAGCTGGACCAGGACCGTGCACAGAAGGCGGGCCTTGCCGCTGCCTGCCAATGTCGTCGTTGGAATGGCAGGTTTGGCTTTCGCCTTCGGGGAGGACCGCGTCGGCATATCCTTCCTCATCGGCTTTCTCGGCCTGTTGCGCACTGGCGAGCTGCTAAGCCTCACGGTGGGGCGGATCAAGATTGCCTCCCCTCATGTGTGCGTTATTGCACTTCCGGGGTCCAAGGGCTCGCACCAAAAAGGTTTCGACGAGTCCGCCCTTATCCACGACCCCGTCGCGATCGCCCTGTTGCGGAAGGTCGTCGAGCAGCTGCCGGCCGACGAGCGTCTCTTCCCGGGCTCGTTTCGCGACTTAGGCAAGGTGATCCGTCAGTACGCAGTCGACTCCGTCGGTGCGACACCATATTGCCTCCGGCGCGGAGGCGCAGCGTGGCATTTTTCCAAGTGTGCCTCCATGGACGCCACGCAGGCTTTGGGGAGGTGGGAGCAAGCATCCACGGCTAAGGGTTACGTCAACCAGGCAGTATCCGACTTGCCGTCTCGCTGGACGTAGCCAGTCGTGCACGAGCTGATCGGTGTGCCCGGGCGCTCATGGCGCTAGCCTCTTCCTCCCCCGCCCACCCTTGAGGGGTCCGTGGCAGGGAGTCTGTGCGATGGGAACCCCGAGCACGGCTGGTGGGGAGGCTGGCTGCGGGTCGCACTTGGGCTTCTTGAAGCCATGCTCAGGGTTTCGGGGGCTCTTGAGCCCGCCGGCCCCCTATCGCGCGCGGGTGCCTCGGGGCCCCCGCGGTCCTTGTCCTCTTGTGGCGGGGCATCGTGCAGCGCGGTTCCCTTTGGGCTTGTAGTCTGAGGGGGCCGCCGACGCGCAGCCGGGCTGAGCACGGCTGCGGGCAAGGGCCTTGCGTCGGACGCTTTGCCGTGACAGGCGGGGCGCATTCTTCTTAGCGCTGCGTGCGGCGACTGCGCATTCGCACAGACCCTCTCAGGAGTGACGTGGGTGCCGGAACTGAGGAAAATGTGCGCGCAGTGGCAAGTGTTAGTCTACGAGGCAGCGGGGAGCGAACTCGGCGTGTACACTTGCGCGCGTGCTTCTTCAGCCATTTCCTGCTCCACCTCCCTCCCCGCCTCCCGAGGCAGGGGTCGCCCGGGCAAGCCTCCTGAGGCTCCCCCCCCCCGCCTCCTGAGGCAGGGGTCGCCCGGGCAAGCCTCCTGAGGCTGTGCTCCGCGGGATTGGGCGTGCGTCTCTTGAGACCATTGGTGGTGCAGTGGCGCTGCGGGTCGCACTTGGGCTTCTTGAAGCCATGCTTGGGGTTTCGGGGGCTCTTGAGCCCGCCGGCCCCCTATCGCACACGGGTGCCTCGGGGCTCCCGCGGCCCTTGTCCTCTTGAGGCGGGGCATCGTGCAGCGCGGTTCCCTCTGGGCGTGTAGTCTGAGGGGGCCGCCGACGCGCAGCCGGGCTGAGCACGGGTGTGGGCAAGGGCCTCGCGTCGGACGCTTTGCCGTGACAGGCGGGGCGCATTCTTCTTAGCGCTGCGTGCGGCGACTGCGCATTCGCACAGACCCTCTCAGGAGTGACGTGGGTGCCGGAACTGAGGAAAATGTGCGCGCAGTGGCAAGTGTAAAACTATTATTGCCAGCACCTCGGGGCCTTTGACCTGGGAGGACAATATGTCGGAGCCACTATGCAGAGAGGTTATAGCTGGCCGAGACGGAGCGACATCGCATGCCGACGTTGGCTTGTGTCTTCAAATGAACGGCCATGTGGGTGCAGTCGCACACATTGATAAAGATGTTAGCAAACCAGCTGTCATGTTCCAGCGATGCGCAAGTGCTTCAGAACTTGGGCAGGTCTTACGGTTGCTGCCTGGGGAGCCACGTGTTGCGAACCGGAAAAATTTGTAGTGGAATTGATTTTTGACAAGGACAGCCACGCATATCAATTTTTCCGAGTCAGGAGCTTGGTCCGCAGCAGTGGCTGTGGATCAAAGTCGCCCACGGCGAATCACCGCCGCCCATTGCCCCTTTGCAAGAGTCTCTGTGGCCGACAGTTGGGCCAGAGCTTGGCTAAGCTGTCGGGCCAGTTGTTCCCCGGAACGGTTTTGAAAGACTTCGGGGAACGCGTGGGGTGGCGAGAAGATCTCCTCCCGTGACTTGCCCCTGTCTGTAGTCAGCCGCCTTTCTCTATTTTCACGTCTGGTTGCCATGCGTGCAATCTTGCCCACGCGTTTGCAGGACGCAGGGCTTCAGTCAGGGGGTCAGGAGTTGCGTGCTGCACACCATTTGTACGGCGCCCGAGTGCGCTGTCTGGGCTGTGGGCAGAAGCCCTTGCTGCTCCCGCGGCGAGCTCTCGCCCCGCCTCAGCGGGCGGCCGTCTGGCGTCAACGACCTCAGGTCGACGCGTGCCGAGACGGAGCGATATCGCATGCCGACGTTGGCTTGTGTTTTCAAATGAACGGCCATGTGGGTGCAGTCGCACGCATTGATAAAGATGTCAGCAAACCAGCTGGGATGTTCCAGCGATGCGCAAGTGCTGCAGAACTTGGGCAGGTCTTACGGTTGCTGCCTGGGGAGCCAGGTGTTGCGAACCGGAAAAATGTGTGCATATCAGTTCTTCCGAGTCAGGAGCTTGGTCCGCAGCAGTGGCTGTGGATTTTCCTTGCCTTAGGTGCTGCGTGGCACTTCGTCGGAGGGGATGCCCGAAGTTGCCCTATCAGCCAGAGTACTGCCGCTGCACCGCGCCTTGCCTTCGCGCAAAAAAAGACGAGCCCAGAGGCCCCCAAGAGACCACCGAGACAGCCCAAGAGGGCCCCAAGACGGCCCAGGAAGCTTCCAAGACGGCCCAAAAGAGCTCCCAGAACACTCCAAGAGGAGCCCCAGATGGGGAACACAAGAGGCCTCTAGAGGCCCCCCAGGAAGCTCCAAGAAGCCTCCAAAAGGCGCCGAAAGGGCCCCGCAAGGCTTCCAGACGCTGGTGATAATGACAATGATGATTATGCAGGGCGGCCTCAGGCCCACAACCTAAATCCCCAATACTGCTCACGCGGCATGCAAGACGCTGCGGAGATATCCTCGAGTTCGGCGGGGTGACGAAAACGATGACGATGATGACGACTATTATGAAGTTGACGACGACGATGATGATGATGCTGATGATGATGATGATGATGATGATGATGTTGATGATGATGATGATGATGATGAGGAAGAAGATTATGATGGTGATGTTGACAGTGGGAGTTATGATGATGCTGATAATGATGATGATGATGATGATGATGATGATGATGGTGATGATGGTGATCGTGATGTGAGTGATGGTGATGATGATGATGATGATGGTGGTGATGCTGACGATCATGATGACGATGCCGGTGATGCCGTTGAGGATGGTGATGCTGACGATCATTATGATGATGCTGCTGATGGTCAGGATGATAACGCCGATGCTGATAATAATGGTGGCGATGCTGTTTATGGTGCTTGTGATGCAGGAGTGGGCGGATGATGAAGATGATGACGATGATGATGACGATAACGATGACGACGATCACGACGACGACGATAATGATGACGATGGCGATGATGAGGATGATTATGTTGATAATTCAGGTGACGATATTGATGATGACGACGATGCCGATGATGACGATGGTGATGACGATGTTGCTGCTGATGGTGGTGATGGTGACGATTGTGATGATGGTGATGGTCATGGTGATGATGACGATGCCGCTGACGATGATGCCGGATATGATGGTGATAAGGATGGCGATGATGATGATGATGATGATGATGATGATGATGATGATGATGATGATGACGATTATCCTAGCTAGAACTTGAGCGCGCGCGAAGCGCGCGATGGTTCCAGTAGATATATATATGTATATGTATATATATACATACATACATACACATTCACAAGTCATATATGTATGTATGTATGTATGTATATACATATATATACACATATGTTGGACCCGTCGGACGGGCCTCGAAGCGGCCACTGGGCCTCGCAGGGCGTTTTGCCAAGCCTTCCCAGCACACCTAGGGCAATCAGGGGGGTCATCGGAGACGTCCCAGAGACCACCAAGACAGCACAAGAACGCTCCAAGAGTCACCGACGTGACCTCAAGATGGCCCAAGAGGCCACCAGGACGGCCCCAAAGAGGCCTCCAAGAGCACTCCCAAGAAGGCCCCCCGAGGCACAAATCACTGATTTTCTATATATTTTTTGTGAATTTTGGGGTTCTCCTCTTTTCGGCTTCCCGACGCTCCAAGACGGCGGTCTTCTGGGCGTCCGAAGCCGCCTGGGAGGCTCCCAAATCGCCCCACAACCATCCGAAAGGGCTACCAGGCAGTCCAAGAGAGCCCCAAAACGGCACAACACGGGTCCAAGATGGCCCTCAGAGAGCCCCATGGCGGCCCAAGATGGCCCAAAGACACCCTCCGAAGAATTCCAAATCGTGATTCGGTCGTTCACGAAGACCGCGGTTGGAGGCAGGGTGGCCCGAGGAAGCCCCCAACGGCCCCCAGAATACGCCCAGGAGGCCTCCAGAAGGCCTTAAGAAGCCTGAAACAACTTTTGTGAGGCCCCTAGAGGCTCTCCAAGGAGGAGCCTCCGCAAAAAAGAGCTGAGGAGGATGGGGAGAATGCGCAGGGCATGGCGAAAAGAAAGAAAGAGAAGCATGGAGGAAGGATAACGAAAAACATTATTATAGCGGCGATGCCGGAAAAGGCAACCAGGAGTTAGTTGTCGCTAAATTGTCGGCTTGACCTTCCTGCTAGTCCGCCTGCATACCAAACTTCAAGGACCAAGGTGCATGGCGCGAAGCGCCACTGCAAACTTGTATATATATATATATATGTACACATATATGTTCTGGCAAATTTTTAGTTTTCTTCCGAAATCCGCCTGCTCGACCTAACCCAGGAGGGAACAAAATCACACAGGCACAATGAATCGCCGATTCCCGAGAACATGTGGGAACATCTAGGAACAGTGGGGGGGAAGACAAACATCAAAAAACAAAAAACAGGAAGACACGGGGAATCCTGTTCTTCGTGTCTATATACTTGTGTGCCCCAGGGCCCCTCCACTGACCCTCGTGCGCGCCGCCGAGGTGGTGCCGCCGTCGCGGGCACCGCCCGAGGCCGGCGCCGCGGGGGCGGCGGGGGCCCCCGCGCAGGGCCCCGGCGCGGGGCCCTCGAAGCGGGCGAGGGCGCCGCCCCCGGCCTCGGAGGGCGCGGGCGCGCCCGCGCCGGCGCCGCCCGCGCCGCGGCGGCGGAAGGCGCCGCCGGACGCGAGCAGGACCTCGGCTCTCTTAGTCGGGCACGTCCCTCTTGCGGGAGGAGCACGTTGAGGGATGTGTTTGTGGGAGGGGAAGGCTTCTTAGAAGGGGGGAAGGCTTCTTAGAAGGAGGCTGCTTCTTAGAAGGCGCCGGCCCTACATCTGCAAGCAGACAAGGCCCGCGCCTTCCGAAGAAGTAGGGGTGCTTCCAAGAAGCCTTCCCTCCTCCTGCCACCCCCCCCTGCGCGTTTGTCCAGAACCCGCCTGTGGGAGGACCTGGCCCGACCTGGCCCGAGCTGGGCCCTCCCTGTCGTGGCCCCGGGGGAGTTTCGGCGGCGAGCCTGGGGGGGAAGGGAGAAGGGGCGGGCTTTCTCAGAAGTCTCGGGGGTGGACAGAACCCCGACCCTGACACGTCGATTGAATTGAATTGTCCGTTTTCGGTTCTCGAGAGTTCGCCGCGGCCGTCGTTTTCCAGGCTTGCGCCCGCCAGGTTCGGGCACGAGGTCGTTTTCACTAAACCACGTTTTACGAAAAGGGGTTCTGTCCATCCCCGAGAGGAATATTCAAGAGTAGTAGAACAATTGTCAGGGGAGGATTTGTTGATTATTTTCGACTATTTTGGCGCATTTTTGGATTCTGTGCCATTTTTCGTCCAACATCCGCCTGTAGGAGGACATGCCCGACCTAAGACTCGGCATCGCTCGGGCGTGTTTTTCATGTTTTATTTTTTTCGGGGCGAGGACCATCGAGGAGCTTCTTGGATCATCTGGCGAAGCACCCAGAGATCCGACGCTCTTCAGAAAAGTCGGAACGGCGGGACTTTTTTGGCCGTTTTGGCTTCCGGGGGCCCTCGCTGGGCCTCGGGAACGTCCCAAAACGACTCAGGACGAAGAACCGGCCCCAGGGAAGTGGTCCAGACCTCCGGGGCCCGCGCATCGAAGAAATTGGAGCGGCTGGATGTGTCGGGGCATGCGCGCGCGAAACCACAAAAAGGCACGGGGAGTGGACGTCCGAGCGATGGCAAGAGGACGGGCGAGCTGTGCCGAGAGGCGCTGCGCTGGCGCTCGACCACCGTGGGCGGCAGGAAAGCTCGGAGGAGGCCGAGGCGCCGACGCCGCTGCTCGCCCCGGAGAGCCCTCGCCGCCACGGGAGCGACGCAGCCACAGCGGCGTCGTCTGCGCCGGCACTGGCGTGCAGGCTGCCCGCGTACAGTGCCGTTTTTAATACATGCTCCGCGTGCGGATCATGTATTAAAAATGCAGGGCTTCAGTATTAGAAACATCGATGAGTTCATGCATACATTGATTCATATATTGAGCATGTATTAACAATCCGATGTTTTTACCTAGCAGCGAAGACTTATAGGTTTCTAATAGGGTCAAAAGAGAGCATCATGACTCCCCAGGGGGGTCTGGGCGGCATCCGGACAGGGATCCGCGGAAGTCGTTTTAAGCAAACAGTTCACACTTCGTGGTCTTCGAGGTCCCAGAACTCCATTCCCGGGCCACATTCTAAATGCCCGGAGCCAACTGTAGGCCACTTCGTGCTCTTCGAGTTCCCAGAACTCCATTCCCGGGCCACATTTTGAATGCCCGGAGCCAACTGTAGGGCACTTCGTGCTCTTCGAGTTCCCAGAACTCCATTCCTGGGCCACATTTTGAATGCCCGGAGCCAACTGTAGGCCACTTCGTGGTCTTCGAGTTCCCGGATCTCCATTCCTGGGCATGATTTTGAATGCCCAGAGCCAACTGTAGGCCACTTCGTGTTCTTCGAGTTCCCAGAACTCCATTCCCGGGCCACGTTTTGAATGCTGAGGCAGGCTGATGCTGAGGCTGAGGCAGGCTGAGGCTGAGGAGGCTGAGGCTGAGGCCGAGGCTGAAGGCAGACTGAGGCTGAGGCTGAAGCAGGCTGAGGCTGAGGCTGAGGCAGGCTGAGGCTGAGGCTGAGGCAGGCTGATGCTGAGGCAGGCTGAGGCTGAGGCTGAGGCTGATGCAGGCTGAGGCTGAGGCAGGCTGAGGCTGAGGCCGAGGCTGAAGGCAGACTGAGGCTGAGGCTGAAGCAGGCTGAGGCTGAGGCTGAGGCAGGCTGAGGCTGAGGCTGAGGCAGGCTGATGCTGAGGCAGGCTGAGGCTGAGGCTGAGGCTGATGCAGGCTGAGGCTGAGGCAGGCTGAGGCTGAGGCCGAGGCTGAAGGCAGACTGAGGCTGAGGCTGAAGCAGGCTGAGGCTGAGGCTGAGGCAGGCTGAGGCTGAGGCTGAGGCAGGCTGATGCTGAGGCAGGCTGAGGCTGAGGCTGAGGCTGATGCAGGCTGAGGCTGAGGCAGGCTGAGGCTGAGGCCGAGGCTGAAGGCAGACTGAGGCTGAGGCTGAAGCAGGCTGAGGCTGAGGCTGAGGCAGGCTGAGGCTGAGGCTGAGGCAGGCTGAGGCTGAGGCTGAGGCTGAGGCTGAGGCTGAGGCTGAGGCTGAGGCAGGCAGGCTGAGGCTGAGGCAGGCTGAGGCTGAGGCTGAGGCAGGCTGAGGCTGAGGCTGAGGCTGAGGCTGAAGCTGAGGGAGGCTGAGGCTGAGGCTGAGGCTGAGGCTGAGGCTGAGGCTGAGGCTGAGGCAGGCTGAGGCTGAGGCTGAGGAGGGCTGAGGCTGAGGCTGAGGCAGGCTGAGGCTGAGGCTGAGGCAGGCTGAGCTGAGGCAGGCTGAGGCTGAGGCTGGCTGAGGCTGAGGCTGAGGCTGAGGCTGAGGCTGAGGCCGAGGCTGAAGGCAGACTGAGGCTGAGGCTGAAGCAGGCTGAGGCTGAGGCTGAGGCAGGCTGAGGCTGAGGCTGAGGCTGAGGCAGGCTGAGGCTGAGGCGAGGCAAGGCAGACTGAGGCTGAGGCTGAAGCAGGCTGAGGAGGCTGAGGCTGAGGCAGGCTGAGGCTGAGGCAGGCTGATGCTGAGGCAGGCTGAGGCTGAGGCTGAGGCTGATGCAGGCTGAGGCTGAGGCAGGCTGAGGCTGAGGCCGAGGCTGAAGGCAGACTGAGGCTGAGGCTGAAGCAGGCTGAGGCTGAGGCTGAGGCAGGCTGAGGCTGAGGCAGGCTGAGGCTGAGGCTGAGGCAGGCTGAGGCTGAGGCTGTGACTGCGACTGCCGTTGCCACTGCGACTGTCATCGCGAATGCGACTACGACTGCGAGAACAGCAGAATTCTACAACTGGATTCTCATCTGAATCTTAAGGGGAGTGCTTCCAGATATGCTCCTACACATCGCTGTTAGTTTGCTTTGCCGGGATAATTAAACATCCTATGTATTAAAACCTGCCCTGTAGGGTCGCGCGCAGGCGCCCTCGCCTCAGAGGTGGCGCGCCGCAGCGGCGGCCCGCTGGCAAGCCACCGCGCAAGGTCGCCATGCGTCGCCTCGCGCAGGACCCGTTCCTGATCGTGGCCCACGGGTGGATCCTCCTCGGAGTTTTTGGCCAGAGCGCATCCCGGGAGAGGTCCAGGGAGCAGCGGCGTCGGTGCATTGAAGCTCGCTGGACCTCGGGACGTGTTTCAGCCCAGGCGTGTGTTTACCCCGCTCGGCTTCGCCGATGGCGCGCAGCCCGTGTCGTCCCTCATTGTGCCGCCAGCGTCGTGTTGAAGGGCCTCGGTGGACAAACACACGTTGGCACTCACACACGTTCTGACGATCA